AAAAAAAAAAAATTCTATTTTCCTGAAACTCTTGGTCAAATATTTGCTAAAATCTGAATATATTAAATCACATCTATACTCTCCTTTAATCTACTGATCTCATAACCCTGTCATAAAAAAAAAAAAAAAATGAGGGTAGTTTGGCTTTACTTGTTCTTATAAGACAACGCTAGCTCCCTGAGATCACCACTCTTTCGGACAACGGCTGAGCCAGGTCTTCACTGAGGCCTCTGCTGCCTGGCCACTGCTTCGCCTGGTCTCTGTTGCCTGACCATTCTCTGTGCCCACCGCTCTGCCCCACACCCATCCTGCTATCCCTTCCTCCCTTCTCCTTAGCCTCAATCTCAAACAGAAAGACAACTGACCACTTGTTCAGGAACTGATTTGTGGGTTGGGTGCAGGGACTCACACGTGTAATCCCAGCACTTTGGGAGGTAAATTGGGCAGATCACCTGAGTTCAAGACCAGCCTGGCCACCATGGCGAAACCCCATCTCTATTAAAAATACAAAAGTTAGCCAGGGATGGTGGTGGGCACCTATAATCCTACCTACTCGGGAGGTTGAGGCAGGAGAATTGCTTGAACCAGAGAGGCAGAGGTTGCAGTTAACTGAGATCACACTACTGCACTCCAGCCAGGGCAACAGAGTGAGACTCTGTCTCAAAAACAACAACAACAACAACAACAAAAACTGATTTGTTACTGAAATAATCCACATAGGATGTGCTGTTCCTCATCCCATCAAAACAAAGATGGGGGGCTGGGAAGCACAGCTGTTTACATGAACCTCCAGAATTTAAGCTTTAGTTTCCTTTCAGACCACAGAATGCAGAGATGTGAGAAGAGGAGCATGATCAGGTAAGAAAAGCAGAAAAGGGAGCATCCATTTTTTCTTTTTTTGGCCTGGTCTCTGCTACCACATCATTAGCTATAACCCACCTTAGAAGTCTGCTTTCCAAAAAGATTAACTTTTAAAATCTTTACATTTCTTCCTAAAAGATTGAGTAAAAAGAAAAAGACCCAAAAATGCCAACAAAGCATTCTTTCAAAATTACTCATGGTACCCATAACAATGCCAGGGTCCTACCTTAGTTTGGGGGCAAAGGGAGGCGGACAGGGAGACTTCAAACTTAATTAAATAAAAGAATTGTCAAAAATATTTAGAGGCCAGAGTGGCTCACACCTCCTGGAATCCCAGAACTTTGGGAGGCCAAGGCAGGTGGATCACCTGAGTCCAGGAGTTCAAGACCAGCCCAGGCAACATAGCAAGACCCATGTCTACAATAAATAAATAAATAAATAAATAATAAACAAAAAACCAGCCAGACATGGTAGTATACACCTGTAGTCCCAGCTACTTGTGAGGCTGAGGTTGGGCACTGCTTGAGCCCAGGAGGTGGAGGCTACAGTGAGCTGAGATCAAACCACTGCACTCCAGCCTGGGCAACAGAGCAAGACTCTGTCTCCAGAAAATAAAATTTTTTTAAAAAAAGTATTTCGAGTTTGGGCATTACATAAGATTTCATTGACAGAAAACATACCTACCTTGACCAAAATATCCAGATTTCAAAAAAATACTACTATAATTATTCTAGAGAAACAATAATTGGTTTGATGCAAGTTCTACAATAAACAAACTAGATTTTGATAACTGCATTTATTTTCCCCAGAACCTATTTTTCATGGTTCATAAGTTCATTTTATTTTCTTTTTTTAAAGTGAGGACATTTTTAATGGAGTCCAAAGAAGGACAGAAGTTGCAAAGACTTGAGCGTGCAGGCCGGCTGTCTGCAGTATGAAAATCACACTTGTCACAGAGGTTTGGGGACTCCGTCTGTACCAGCAATTCACTTTCTTTTTCCTCTTTTATAGCATCTCTGTTCTACATGAAGTGAAACCAGGCCACCCAGATTATATATTTTGGTTTAAATTCGTGAATGCTGATGCAGTTCCGCAAAAAGCCCTAATGGGCAGATTCTTCATACCCCAAACACCACTTCGGCTACAAGGATTCTAAGACCAAAGTAAAGGGCTGAGGCAACTAGCCAGGTGAACCAGCTAACCAGATGCATCATCTGCTGCAAAAGGGCAGCAGACCTGGGGTCAAGGCTTGGATCGTGTTATGATTTCTGTCGCCAAGTAACTATGTGACTTTGAGCAACACATTGAATTTACTGAAAACTGGGTTTTCCTCTCATGAGGTGGCATCACAACATCTCCCTCACATAGTTTACAAAACAATGATAAAAATAAAATGATGTCTGGGTGTGCTGGCTCATACCTGTAATCCCAGCACTTCGGGAGGCTACAGCTGGAGGATTGCTTGAGCTTAGGAGTTTGAGACCAGCTTTGGCAACACAGTGAAATTCCCTTCTCTAAAAAAATTTTAAAAATTAGCCAGGTGTGGTACTGTGCACCTGTAGTCTTAGCTATTTGGGAGGCTGAGACAGGAAGATCACTTGAGCCCAGGAACTCAGGGCTGCAGTGAGCTACTGTTGTGCCACTGCACTACAGCCTGGGCTAAAAAATAATAAAAATAATAAAATAAAAACAAATAAAACAGTTATTCACAAAATGACTTTTCAAAGTCGTATTTCAAAAGAAATACCAGTATTCTTGTTTGAAATTTCACAGCCATGAGTGTCCTATTGGTTAAGCATATTATAACAATCTATTATTAAGAGTATTGGGCCAGTTGATAACCATAAAATCTGTGGCTGGTTCCTTTGGTATGAGAATGGCATGGTCTATCAGTTCCTGTGTGGCATACTAGGACTGCCACTGTCCCAGCAACTCATCTGTACTGCCACACTTGTTCCCTATCTAACCAATGCGGTGCTCTATCGCACACTGTTAAGGACTCTTACGGGGGTCTTTTAAACAGGGGTCGGCAAACTATGGCCCATGAGCCAGATCTGGCCCACTGCCTGTTTTAAACAAAGTTTTACTGGAACACAGTGACAACTGTTCATTTACATATTATCTGCTAAGGCTGCTTTCCTGCTATTGCAGGCAACTTAAATAGCTGGACTTGGCCCCGTTCAGCCTTTAAAACCTAGCATGTTTACTGTCTGGCACTTTGGTGAAAGTTTTGCCAGCCCCTGACCTAAATCATCAACCAGGATCCCCAAAACATTGGCCACAGTGAATACTCTTCTGGGCTCTTAACATTTTAGGCATTAGCTTAGCTGGGGGTCTTAGCTCATATCCCTTGCAGATAAGAGGGGACGACTGTACAGAGCAATAGAAAGAACTTCCCTTGTTTTTTTCAGCATGTGATTTTGGGGTAGATACGTATGTGATACTCTCTAAGCATCCCCATGTGACAATAATGTGGAAGTCGGCTTGTACAGGTGAGGTGTAAAGTTGCACTCATCATGACAAGCACTATTTTGATTCTACTCCTAACTATATCCTTCTTCTACAAAACGTACTATTAACTATGTAAATAAAAAGCATTCATTTTCCCATTTCTTTAAGATATAAAAATACAAATATTGGGAGAGCCAAATTCTTGCTTTATTCCAACCCTCCCATTTTACAGAGGAGGAAACTGAGAGCAAGTTAAATGATTTGTCTAAAAGCTAAGAATCAGTAGCTGATTCAAGCTCTTCCCTCAAACCTGTACTAATTTCATGTATTATTCAGTCACAAGGACACATCTTTTTGTTAAAGAAAAATCTCTATAGAATAAAATATCTGGTTAACCTTACTCTGACTTGCACAGTATTAGACCAATAACACTATGAAGATATTACTAATATTTTGCATATTAAATTAAACAAGCAAAAATCCCATTACCATTTTGCACCTGTCATAACTATAATCTTCATGCAATGAAAAATGTTAACTGCAAACTCAGGGTTGAGCCAATTCTCTTTCACTAATGTCAAATCTAAAAATCTCTAATTTAATATTAACATATAAAGAAGCTACAAAACTAAAGTGGAATGTACATTGCTGAGCACAGAGGAATAAATGCAAAAATGAATACAACTTTTACCTCCATCTGCAAAGCTTCAGCCAATCCCCTTATGGCAAACTTGGATGCAGAGTAGGCTGTGAAACCGAATAATCCCAACTGTCCTGCCTGGGAGGACACAAACACGATCCTGCCCACCCGGCGCTCCTTCATGGTGGTGATCACGGCCCGGCTGGGGTACACGCTGCCCAGGTAATTGATGCTCATTAACCTCTGCAGGGAACAAAGAGTTCACATGAGGAGGGCATGGGGTCAAAAGCCTCAAGGCTATGCTCATGGAGAATTTGGTCTGGCTCTTCAATGCAAGCTCAAGTGACTGGGAAGCTCAACAGACTTGCTGAATGAATGATTACATGACGCTATAAATGAAATGTGATTTCAGGCCTACCATTTGAAGCCTCAGGACTTCCCATTTGAAGCCTTTTTCAGTCTAGTCTTGCATTCTGACCACTGACGGCAGTTATGTTTTTCCTGAAAACTGGTTGAAGTTAGTTTTCTCCTTTTAAAAATGATACTGCATGTTTGCAGGTAGTACTTTCTGAAAGACAGTTTTAGGAAAGAGCCTTCAAGTATTTTCAGCCCTATTGGTTCTAAGCTATAAGAAAAGCACAAAGAGAGTAGGATGGTGATTTAAAGTTTTGGTTTCAAGCCTTGGCTCTGCCATTTATTGCCTATATGATGATGAATAAGAAAGTCAGACATTCTGCTCATTTTCTCGGCTGAAAACAAGGTTGACGTGGGTACGACTGCATAGGGCTGTGGCAAGGATTAAGAGAGAAAACACAAGTTAAGCACTAGCCCAGCCCTCGGCCTCAAGAACCACTAGCTCTCCCATCATGATGGGTAAGAGTACTAATAGTATATTTTCTTCTCATCTTGCAAGCTATTAATTTTTATTTATTTATTTTTTACCATTATCATTTTTCTTTAGAGACAGTGTCTCACTCTCTCCCCCAGGCTAAAGTGCAATGATGCATGCAACATCAGCTCACTGCAGTTTCAACCTCCTGGGCTCAAGCAATCCTCTTGCCTTAGCCTCTTCAGTAGCTGGGATTACAGGCACATGCTACCACGCCCAGCTGATTTTTGTATTTTTTGTAGTGACAGAGTCCTCTTATTTTGCCTAGGCTGGTCTCAAACTCCTGGGCTCCAGCAATCCTCCTGCCTTGATCCCCCAAAGTGACAGGATTACAGTAATGAGGCACTGTGCCCAGCCCGAACTCTTAAAAACCATAATTTTTAACTTGAAAATCTAAAATACTTGCATTAAATGTTTCAAATATTTAAATATTTATAAAAAATTAGATCATCATGTAAATAAAAACTAAATACCTCAATTATGGAACTTGAGATCAATCATAATTCTTTTTCATATTATGGAAGGAACATGAATATAAAATCATAATATCTTAATTCAAGAGAATATCTTTTTTTTTTAAGACAGGTTTTCACCCCGTTGGTCAGGCTGGTCTTGAACTCCCTACCTCAGGTGATCCACCCGCCTTGGCTTCCAAAGTGCTTGGATTACAGGCGTGAGCCACCACGCCCAGCCAGATTTGTTTTTTTTTGAGATGGAGTTTCACTTTTGTCGCCCAGGCTGGAGTGCAGTGGCACGATCTCAGCTCACTGCAACCTCTGCCTCCTGGGTTCAAGTGATTTTCCTGCCTCAGCCTCCCAAGTAGCTGGGATTACAGGCGCCCAACACCCCGCCCAGCTAATTTTTTGTATTTTTAGTATAGAGTTTTGCCCTGTTTGCCGGGCTGGTCTTGAACTCCTGACTTCGGTGATCTGCCCGTCTTGGCCTCCCAAAATGCTGGGATTACAGGTGTGAGCCACCACATCCGGTTTAGATAATTTTTTTAAATGATGACCAGAAACACTGGGAGTGACAGGGGAAAATATCTACGCTATTTAAGTTTAAAAGGCAGAGGCCAGACTGTATGCACACTGGAACGGTAATTACTTCAAAGGCCAAGTAAAAGTACACATTCTCAGAGGGAAGACCAAGGAAATACAGATGATAAGTGATTGAGTTAGGATGCTGGGATTCTCATTATTTTCCAAAAATGTGTTTTAATAGCATAATATTGTTTTGATAATAAAAATGTTCTAAGCTGGGTGTGATGGCTCACACCTGTAATCCCAGCACTTTGGGAGGTCGAGGCAGGTAGATCACCTGAGGTCAGGAGAATTGAGGCCAGCCCCGTCTCTACTAAAAATACAAAAAAAATTGGCCGGGTGTGGTGGGGGGAACTTGTAAAATCCCAGCGTCTCGGGAGACTGAGCCAGGAGAATCGCTTGAGCCCAGGAGGCGGAGGTTGCAGTCACCCAGGACCGCCCCACTAAACAAAAACAGAGGAAAACAGGCGGAACCAAATCTAAAAAAAAAAAAAAAAAAAAAGAAAGCTCTAAAAGAATATCTGAAAAAAGGCAGTACACTGAACACGTGTTTACCTCAACTCCCTTTAGAGATCTCGCTAAAATCTCAGTAAAGAGATTTTTTTTTTGAGACACAAGTCTCACTCTGTCTCACAGGTTGGAGTCAGTGGTGTGATCTCGGCTCACTGCAACCTCTGCCTCCCGGGTTCAAGCAATTCTCCTGCCTCAGTCTTCTGAGTAACTGGGACTACAGGGGTGCGTCACCACACCTGGCTAATTTTTTTTTGGTATTTTTAGTAGAGATGGGGTTTCACCATATTGGCCAGGCTGGTCTCAAACTCCTGACCTCATGGTCCGCCCACCTCAGCCTCCCAAAGTGCTGGGATTACAGGCGTGAGCCACCATGCCCGGCCAGAAATTTTTTTTGAGGCAAGAACCCGCAAGAACAAAGAAAAGAGGAATAAAAGTCACAGCAATAACCTTTTGGAAGCTGAAGAACAGATTGACGAGGGATAACTAACTTAGCAGACCACGAAAAACTAAATGATAAGTGGGGAGTGGAGAAACCAAAAAGCCAGATTCTACCACAAGAACCCAAAAGGCTCTAGCCGCGAGTCTCCGGGGTGGAGGGAAGCGTGGGCCAGCATAGGGCTGAGACAGGAGCTGGGACTAAGAGTCTATTTAATGAGCAATAGCTAGAAACAGTCCAAATGGCCATCAATGAATAGATAAACAGAATGTGGTTGATCCATACAATGGAATATTATCACCCTATAAAAAGGAATGAAGCACCCAAATATGCTACATGTAGATGAGCCTCAAAAATGTGATGCTAAGAGAAAGGCCAGACACAGAAGGGCATGTATCGTATGATTCCAATCATACGAAATTATCAGAGACCAGAGAGACAGAATACAGATCGGTGGTTGTCAGAGACTGGGTGTGGGGCAAGCAGGGATGGGAGCCACTGCTCAGCAGGTGCAGGCCCGCCCTCCGGGTGAGGCAGATGTTTGGGATCCAGGCAGAGGTGGTGGGTGTGCCACACTGTGACTGTACTAAATGTCTCTGCATGGTTCACTTTAAAAACGGTTAATTTTATATGAATTTCACCTCATCTTTTTTTTTTTTTTTTGAGATGGAGTCTTGCTCTGTCGCCCAGGCTAGAGTGCAGTGGTGTGATCTCGGCTCACTGTGACCTTTACCTCCTATATTCAAGGGATTCTCCTGCCTCAGCCTCCCACACAGCTGTGACTACAGGCAGGTGCCACCACACTCTTCCCAGATGCATAGTTACAAAAGGCTAGAAGACTCTCCTCAGGGCTTTTGACCAACCCAAGAGAAAAGATTTACAGATGACATTGAAACTACATCCACAGATATCACTAGACAATCACCTTTCCAAAAGGTCCATTGTCAAACAGCTCCACAAACAAGCACAGAGTCGTGGCAGTCACCTTGTTAGTGCCTGATTCTGAAATGTGAAAACACTGCCAAGGGCCTCCAGCCTTCCAGCAAAGTCACACCAAAGACAGAGCTACTGACCTCTTAGAGAAAGTAAACACAGGTACAAAGCAGAGACAATGAAAGGACAAAAGAATACCTTAAGAGAATTCGCCTTAACATCTACAGGGAGATAAGAAGACAGACAGCACCAAGAAACCACAAAGAAAACCACTGAAAAAGAAAATTAAGAGAAGAGTATTGGGATTCCCCAAGACCATGCCCAGGCTGATGATTCACTAGAAGGTCTACATTCTCAGCAGATGGTCCTACACAGGACTAAGATTTGTTACAGGGAAAGGATGCAAAGCAAAATCAGCAAAGGGAAAAGACACAGGGAGAAAAGTCCAGAAGAAATCAGGTGCAACTTCCGACAGTCCTCTTTCAGTGGAGTCACATAGGACGTGCTTAATTCTCGCAGCAATGAGTTGTGACAACACATGCCAAAGTACTGTGCACAACCTATTTATTTATTTATTTACTTACTTACTTACTTATTACAAAGTCTCACACTGTTGGCCAGGCTGGAGTGCAGGGGAGCGATCTCAACTCACTGCAACCACTGTTTCCTGGGCTTAAGCAATTCTCTTGCCTCAGCCTCCTGAATAGCTGGGAGTACAGGCACACGCCACCATGGCCAGCTAACTTTTGCATTTTTAGTAGAAATGGGGTGTCACCATGTTGGCCAAGCTGGTCTCAAACTCCTGACCTCAAATTATCTACCAGCCTCGGCCTCCCAAAGTGCTGAGATTACAAACATGAGCCACCACATCCGGCCTGTGTACAGGCATTTTACATGCATGTGAAACTTCAATAAAATTAAAAACTAAAAATAATAAAGCAAACATATAACTCAGATAGAATTCATTTTAAACGAAAATAATTTCCTATCATTAGAAAATGCATCAAGTGTGGTACAGGTTGAGTGTCCCTTATCCAAATGCTTGGAACAAGAAGGGTTTTGGATTTGGGGTTTTTTTGGATTTGGAATATTGAATTGTACTATCGGTTCAGAATCCATAATCTGAAAATCTGAAATCCAAAATGCTCCAAGAGGCATTTCCTTTGAGCATTATGTTGGCGCTCAAAAAGTTTCAGATTTTGAGCTGGGTGCAGTGGCTTACACCTTGTAATCCCAGTAGGGAGGGATTTGGGAGGCTAAGATGGGCAGATCACCTGAGGTCAGTAGTTCAAGACCAGCCTGGCCAACATGGCTAACACAGCAGGCAAGAAGAACCTTTAAAACTGAAATGCAGGCCGGGCATGGTGGCTCATGCCTGTAATCCCAGCACGTTGAAAGACAAAGGCAGGCGGATCACGAGGTTAGAAGATCAAGACTCTCCTGGCTAACACGGTGAAATCCCATCTCTACTAAAAATGCAAAGTTAGCCGGGTATGGTGGTACATGCCTGCAGTCCCAGTTATTCTGGAGGTTGAGGCAGGAGAATCTCTTGAACCTGGGAGACAGAGGTTGCAGTCAGTCAAGATCGTGCAACTGCACTCCAGCCTGGGCAACAGAGTGAGACTCTGTCTCAAAAAAACAAACAAACAAAAAAAACCCTGAAATCCTGAAACGCAGATCACATGGCTTCCTAGCCAAGCTTAAAACCCTCAAAGTTTTGGATGAAAATCCACAGTCTTCTTTCAGGCTTTCGGGGTCCAGAGACCCTGCCCCACACTGCCCTTCTCTCGGGAGGCTCCAGCCACAGGGGCCTCCTAGTCAATCCTTGCACTTTCCCAGCTCTGTCCCACCTGGGGGCCTGCAGCTGCCATCTTCCCCACCCCTCCCCTTGTCTCTTTTCACTCATTCTCCAGCTCTCCACCCCTGATGGAGCCCCCCTCACCCCATTCCCTCTCTATCCGAGCCCGCTGCTTTCGTTCCTCTGTGGCTCCTGCTCGCAGATGCTGTTGTGTCTGCCTGCCTGCAAATGGTCTGTCCTGCCTTATGGGGACCAAGACTTTATTTTCCTGCTTGTCCCTGCAACCCCAGGACCCAGACCAATGCTTGACATGCTAGACGTTCCTCTTGAAAATGTGTGGATTGAATGTGTAAAAGGGGAAGGAAATGAATTTATGAAACAGCTGCCATGGGCTAAGCGACACACAGACATGATGGGACTTAGGCCTCATAGTTCTGGCCCATTTTACAGAGATGGCAGCTGAGGCTGGGAGAAAAGCTGAGGCCAGAAGAAAATAGAATGCCTTGCTTGAGTCACATGGTTAGTAAGTGGTTAGACTAGAAACCATCAGAGGTGAGATCTGGAACTGGTTTAGTCTGATGCCAAAGCCCACCTTTCTATTACGGTCCCATGATGCCAAAAAGTGGCACGAGAGGCAGTCCACACCAGGGGTATAGGGGTGGGAGAGATGCTGGTGGTCACAGTAAAGAAATAAAACTGTGATTCTTTTCAAAAAGAAAGAGAGAGAAGAAAAGAAAGGGCAGCGTGAATGGAAGACTAAAGGTTGAGAGTCCAAGTGAACTTTTTTAAAAAATCAGAATTGAGGCTGGTTGCAGCTGCTCATGTCTGTAATCCCAGCAATTTGGGAGGCTGAGGCGGGCAGATCATAAAGTCAGGAGATTGAGACCATCCTGGCTAACATGGTGAAACCCGTCTCTACTGAAAATTAAAAAAAATTAGCCAGGTGTGGGGGCATGCACCTGTAGTCCCAGCTACTGGGGAGGCTGAGACAGGAGAATCGCTTGAACCAGGGAGGCAGAGGTTGCAGTGAGCCAAGATCTCACCACTGCACTCCAACCTGGGCAACAGAGCAAGACTCCAACTAAAAAAAAAAAAAATCAGAATTGTGCATTTTGAAATATTTCCACATGCTTCATATTACATGACGTGTATTTTTATGTCTTCCCTCATCTCATCTGCTTTACATTTTTTCCTCATCATTGATACCCATACACATTCACCTGTTATTATACACTCAGTTCTTCTATTCTTGTTCATCGTCATACACCTCCATGAAATATCCCATTATCCTGGTGCTTCTATCACACACATGAGTGCACACAATCCCTGCTCTCACTGAGCCCTAACAGACATGCCCACTTCCCAAGGTCCTTGCTTTACAACTATGCATTTATTTATTACAACCATGCAACTACTTACTCCTCAATCCACTCTCTGCCTGCCATATTCAGTCAAGATGAATCTACCGATTCTTCCTCCTTACCTTACACACAGGCATGCATACACACACGCATACACACATGCACATGTACACGCACATACACCACTTTTTCTGGCTACCTCCCAAGTCTTTTGTTTGATCACTTCATGCCTAGGCCGTGACAATTATTTTCCCTAATTGATTTTTTACCCAGCTGTTGACGTAATCTTCAAAATCGCCCTTCCAGTCCTTACGGATGAAGGTACACAGGCCTGGACAGCGCTCTTCCATGCCTAGTTGATAAAGGGGCCTTAAGATACTCAAGTTGCATTCCTCTGCTTGTATCTACATCTTGGCTCTCCTGACTTGCCTTAAGAAAATCAGAGTTCATGATGCTTTCCCATAGCCTACCAGAAGCAAGAGACATCTACAGTATTGGTCCAGCAGTTTCTTTTCCTACAGAAGCAGAATGTAATGGAACTTCAAACATTCAAAACTCATCATTTCAATGAAACCTCAATAGAACACAAAGAAAAAGATGGTTAGGCCAGGTGCAGTGGCTCACACCTGTAAAACCAGCACCATGGGAAGACAAGCTGGGCAGATCATGTAAACCCAGGAGTTTGAGAACAGCCTGGACAACACAGCAAAACTCCATCTCTCAAAAAAACAGAAAAATGAGCCAAGTGTGGCAGTGTGCACCTGTATTCCCAGCTACTTAGGAGGCAAAAGTGGGAGGACTACCTAAGCCCAAGAAGCAGAGGGTACAATGAGCCAAGATTGCACCATTGCACTCCAGCCCGGGTTACAGAGCGAGACCCTGTCTCAGAAAAAAAAAAAAAAAGGCTGGGCATGGTGGCTCACGCCTGTAATCCCAGCACTTTGGGAGGCCAAGGCAGGTGGATCACAAGGTCAGTAGTTCCAGACCAGCCTGGCCAACAAGATGAAACCCTGTCTTTACTAAAAATATAAAAATTAGCTGAGCGTGGTGGTGGGTGCTTGTAGTCCCAGCTGCTTGGGAGGCTGAGGCACAAGAATTGCTTGAGCCAGGGAGGCAGAGGTTGCAGCAAGCTGAGATTGCGCCACTATACTGCAACCTGGGGGACAGAGCAAGACTGTCTCAAAAAATAAAAAAAAAAAGAAAGAAAGAAAAGAAAAAGATTGCTGATGCACTGCCAACTGAAAAACACTTTCTATTTTAAAAACATTTCAGGCCGGGCATGGTGGCTCATGCCTGCAATCCCAGCACTTTGGGAGGCTGAGGTGGGTGGATCACTTGAGGTCAGGAGTTTGAGACCAGCCGGGCCAACATGGCGAAACCCCGTCTCTACTAAAATACAAAAAATTAGCATGGTGATGTGTGCCTGTAATCCCGGCTACTCGGGAGGCTGAGGCAGGAGAATCGCTTGAACCCAAGAGGCAGAGGTTGCAGTGAGCTGAGATCACGCTATTGCACTCCATCCTGGGTAACTGAGCGAGACTCCATCTCAAAAAAAGAACAAAAAAATTTTCAAATCTGATCTTCATTTTTTTGGTGCTAAAATAAATTACCAAGAGAAGTTCCTTGGTAAACTTGATTAAAAATATAAACATCAATAAGATGCAATATCTTTTTATCTTGATTTGAGAATTCTAGTGAGTCTGTTCTTCAACTTTTTTGGTTTCTCCTTGTTAATAATACTGATATTGCACATGAAGAACCAGCAACTCTTAGATTACAATGTGCTCGCTTGAAAACAGGACCTCAGTAAATTGCTACAGTAATCTGTGTCAGATTAGAAGTTCTATTGCCATTTTAGCTGTTTTCTCAGCTGTAAGATGTCTAAATTCTTAAGGTTTGATGGTCACGGCTCTAGGAACAACACCTCGTTCAGCCTTCCTCTGGTCTTCTAAAGCTTCCATGGACATCTGAAGGCATTCATCAAATTCATTTTTAAAGCTTTTACCTATGCCTTGCTCTACTTTTAGCATATGTGCTACCCCAGCAAAGAAATGTTTTTACTTACTTCAAAGGTACTAACTTCAAGATCTTCAAATTTTCCTGACACTGCCATTCCTGCACAATTTACAAGCATGTCCACTGGACCCAGTTTCTCCTGTGCCTAGAAAGATGTAGCAGAGCAGGCATTCAGAAACAGAGAAGAAAAACCACTCAGCAACAAATCCATGCTAATAAATAAAATCTACAAAACTATTAAACCTATAGAGAAGATGTACCCATTACAAGCCACACAGCAATATGGCAAGAATGAATCAAATGTCAAGCACATAGGTGAATTCCAATTAGCCCAACTTCTTACTTGTTTTATGACATTCTCTACTTGGTTATAGTCTTGAGATACATCAACTGATATGCAAAGCACCACCTGTTAAAAAAAAAAAGTGGTCAAAGTCTTGCAGGTACAAAACTATTTTTAAAGGCATCTTTTAAAGAAAAGATAATTCATTGAATACCGAAGGAAACCAATATTGAATGAACAGATTTCAGTGTTTGCTGATGATGCAATTAGTAGGATCTAATTTTCTTGGCAGCTTCTGGAGTTAAAACTCTGAAGAATCTTTTAAGAAATATAAAAATACTGCTCTTGAAATGCCACTAATCTATAGTGACAGAAGGCAGATCAGGGGTTTCCCAGAGCCAGGCATGGAGGATAGAAGGAACTGTGAAAGGGCACGGGCAGACCCTAGGAAGTGATGAAATATTCCACATCAGGGCCTCGGTGCTGATTCCTTCCAAGAAGGAATCCTGTCCAAATGATAAAAATTCCTAAGAAAAGGAAACAGCCCTCTTTGCAAATATAACCTGAAGCATTCTGGTCCACAGGGGTTGCCCTTGGCTGTCATGTAGACCTAGAGTGGATTTTATCCCCACATCCTCACATAGAAAACATTGTTTTAAAAGTAGTAGTAATCAGCTAGGCATGATGGCTTGTGCCTGTGATCCCAGAACTTTGGGAGGCCAAGGCAGGAGGATCATTTGGGGTCAGGAGTTAGAGACCAGCCTGGTCAACATGGTGAAACCCTGTCTCTACTAAAAATACAAAAAATTAGCCTGGCATGGTGGCAGGCACCTGCAATCCCAGCTACTCGGGAGGGTGAGGCAGGAGAATTGCTTGAACACAGGAGATAGAGGCTGCAGTCAGCCAAGACCACGTCACTGCACACCAGCCTAGGTGACAGAGTGATACTCCGTCTCAAAAAAAAAAAAAGGTAGTAGTAATCATATGATTAAGTTTAAAACATGCCTTTTTATACAGTATTAAATCAGTTACTATAAATAAAATCTATGCCACAGACAAGTGAAATTACAAAACAAAAAAATGTTAACAAGTCACATACACACAAAAATGGCCCATAAAAGCCTGGCAGGGTAGACAAAGGATCAAGCTCATTCTTGCCTGCCCCAGCCCTATCTCCCCTCCTTGATGTGAAAGGTAAGTTTTCCACCTGACCTAAAGCCCTTTGGTAGATGAAGAGGTGGGAAGTGTCACATGATGAGGAAGCCCAGAGCAGAGATGGTGTTGGCAGCAGGCAAGACTGGCCTTGGCCATGAACACTGACTCCATGGCTTCACACCATACTCCTTTCTCTATCAGAAATTATAGGAATACGGGAGAAAGTGGGGCAATTTACAAAGCTGGCGTTCTTCCAATGCTTGTGGGCTTCAGAGAAGGGGGTTCAGGTAAAGACCACAGTCCTAGAGAAAAATCCACACGTACAGAAGGTATACACAAGGATTTTTACCTGCAACGCAGATTGTAATTGCAAAAATAAAAATAAAAAAATATAAAAAAAGAATGGAAACAGCTCAATAGCAGGGAACCCAAGGATTAAGATCTGGTGTTCTTCAATCCTAGGCTGTAGCAATTCAAGGCAAATTTATTTAATGTATATGGAAAAATCTCTAACATTCTGGATGGGAAAAATTTAATGAATACCACAGTGAAATACTATTTAAAACTCATCACAAAGGCAAAAAGAAGTCTGCCAATATCAAGTGTTGGCAGGGATGTGGTGCAACAGGAACCACAGTCTTACTTGTGGGAGCTTAACTGCCTTGGTGAGGCTGAAGAGCTGCATACACTACAGCTCTGTAATTCCATGTCTGGGTATGTACCATTCTTGCACATTAGCACAAAGAGAATAGTGAAAGTTTTTCTAATAGTAAAAAACAAATTGGAAAAAACCTAAATATCCACCAACTGCTGAACTGATGAACAAAAAATAGTCTATACATACAATAGAATACTATATAGCAGAAAAAAAACCAAAAAACCTCCAACTTTATGCAGCAACATAAATGAATTTTTAAAATTTTATATATATTTATTTTGAGACATAGTCTCCCTCTGTCGCCCAGGCTGGAGTACAGTGGTGTGATCTTGCCTCACCTCAAGCTCTGCCTCCCAGATTCAAGCTATTCTCCTGCCTCAGCCTCCCTCCTGAATAGCTGGGATTACAGGCACAGCAAATTTTTCTCTATTTTTAGTAGAGATGGGGTTTCACCATGTTGGCCAGACTGATCTCAAACACCTGACCTCAAGTGATCTGTCCATCTTGACCTCCTAAAGTGTTGGGATCATAGGCATGAGCCGTAACAACTGGCCTTAAAAATAATATTGAGTGAAGAAATCAAGCTGCATAAGAAGCATAAAGAATGAAGTTATACAAATCTACAGAGAAAGAAAGTAGATGAGTGACTGCTTAGCTGAGAGGAGGCTGGCAGGAAATGGCAAGTGACTGCTAATACAGACGGAGATTCTTCAGGGGGTAAGAAAAACATTCTAAAATTGATTCTGGTGATAGTTGCACAACTCTATGAATATATTAAAAATCGTTAACTGTATGGTATGTGAATTATATCTCATAAAGCTGTTAAAAAATAAGAATGATATCATAAAAGAAGTAGAACTAAATATACTGGCCGGGCACGGTGGCTCACGCCTGTCATCTCAGTACTTTGAGAGGCTGAGGCAGGCGGATCACCGGAGGTCAGGAGTTCCAGACCAGCCTGGCCAACATGGTGAAACCCTATCTCTACTAAAAATATTTAAAAATTTAGATGTGGTGGCATGTCCTGTAACCCCAGCTACTCAGGACACTGAGGCAGGAGAATCACTTGAACCTGAGAGGTAGAGGTTGCAATGAGCCAAGATGGCACCACTGCACTCCAGCCTGGGCAACAGAGACTTCGCCTCAAATAAAATACCATATATTATTTAAAGTCACATGCGTATACGGTAAAATTAAAAAGATAAAGAGGTGGGGCGCCGTGCTTATTCCAGCACTTTGGGAGGCAAAGGTAGGCAGATCAATTGACCACAGGAGTTGAAGACTAGCCTGGGCAACATGGCAAAACCCCACCTCTACCAAAAATATTTAAATTAGTCATGTCTGATGGCATGTGCTTATAATCACAGCTGATGTGGGAGGATTGCTTGAGCCCGGGAGGCCAAGGCTTCAGTGAGCTGAGATTGCACCCTTACACTCCAGCCTGAATGACAGAGTAAGACACTATCTCAAAAAAGAAAGAAAGNAAAAAAGAAAGAAAGAAAAAAAAAAAAGAAAAGAAAAACACAGGAAGGAGAAACACAAAAAACTGGGTTGGCATTTGTCCCTCTAGGAATGAGAAAAGAGAGACGTGGGGCATAGAGGGGGCTTCAGAGACCCTAATCAATTCTATTTCTTAGGTTGGGCGATGGGTGTATCATTACTAATTTGTTATTATGTTTTATACTAAAATATATATAGCTTTTTATTCATCAAAAATTCCATAACCAAATAAATTTTAAATATTCCTTTCCTCTTAAGCATTTGTATAAAGTTCATTTAAATAAATAATTAAAATGAAATCATTTGCCAGTAAAACGTTCTGTTATTTGACCAGTTGTAGATATGAATGTGTGTGGGAGTCTATTCGTTGTGTGTGTGTGATATTCTGAGTTACTAGACAATTTAAACAATTTCACCTTTTAAAAAACAGTACAATATGTTTTTAATTGGGAAAATCATATATGCTTTCAATTAATTATTCACAGTTGAAGTAGCCCTGTTTTTTCTTTATACAACTGTGCTGAGTTATGCAGAAAATGCATCTGAAAATAAGAGATTTACCTGTTTATCATTAATAGAGTGCTTTTCAATTTCTTTCTTTGCCTGCAGCAGCTTGTCCTGAAAGCAATGCAGAATAATCAGTCGTAGTGATTGTTATATATACATCTGTTTGTTGCAACGGAGAGAAAAAAAGCAATTATTTTTATATATATACATTAAATTCCAGAAAATGCACAAAACAGTATCTACATTACATAGGCAGACTAGGTCACAGCCTACAAAAGAAAGAAGCTGTGAAGTATGTTAAACTATGAATAAGTGATAACAAGTTTGAAAATTCATTATAAGGCTGGGCGCGGTGGCTCACGCCTGAGATCTCACCACTCTGGGAGGCCAAGGTAGACAGACCACAAGGTCAAGAGATCGAGACCATCCTGGCCAACATGGTGAAATCCTGTCTCTACTAAAAATACAAAAATTAGTTGGACATGGTGGCGCACACCTGTCGTCCCAGCTACTCATGAGGCTGAGGCAGAAGAATTGCTTGAACCTGGGAGGCAGAGGTTGTAGTAAGCCAAGATCACACCACTGCACTCCAGCTCCTTGACAGAGTGAGACTCCGTCTCAAAAAAAAAAAAAAAAGAAGAAAAAGAAAATTCATTACGGAGAAAGATAAGACAAAAACAGATAAACCTCAAAACCCCAATTAACAGTACTAATTGCTGAGACTGACTGTACAGTTCTAATAAATGTTTTGATTTTATTATTTAGTTGTAATATAAGACAAGAACTACCCTATCGATGAGCAGTGCTTCCCAAAGTTGAGGGAATGTGTGACTCCCTGTCAACACTGTTTTTTGTCTAATATTTTCTTCTTCTACTATAAAACCAAACATAGTAAGAATCACTTTCTGGATGGACTGGGTAAACCTAGGCCTGGCTACTATAAAATACCCTTAAGACAAGCAAGGTTACCCGTGTAATTGAGTAATTCTTCCAAGGTCCTAATTTTTTTTGTTTTACGTATTCTCAAGAAAACACATATCAGATTATAGTTTCTTAATTTGCTGTAAAAAGTAGCTTAAATAATATCTTGCAATAGAGAGGAACAAAAGGGGAGGTGAATTCTTCCGAAAGGCATGCAGGGTTTCTAAACCTGAATGTGTCTATAATAAAATAATATTGCCCTATGACTAAAGATACATATAGCTTGACTTTGCAAGAACTGGAATTAAAAATTACATTAGAAAAGAAAGAATTTCTCGGCCAGGCACTGTGGCCAGGTGCCGTTGCTCACGGTTGTAATCCCAGCACTTTGGGAGGCCAAGGTGAGTGGATCATCTGAGCTCAGGAGTTCAAGACCCGCCTGGGCAACATGACGAAACCCTGTCTCTACCAAAAATACAAAAACTTAGCCAAGTGTGGTGGTGAGCACCCATGGTCTCAGCTACTCAAGAGGCTGAGGTGGGAGGATTGAATGAGCCTGGGAGGCGGAGGTTGCAGTGAGCTGATACTGTGCCACTGTACTCCAGCCTGGGCAACAGAGTGAGGCCGGGCATAGTGGCTCACACCTATAATCCCAGCACTTTGGGAGGCCGAGGCGGGTGGATAACTCAGGAGTTCAAGACCAGCCTGGCCAACACGTGAAACCCTGTTTCTACTAAAAAAAAGATAATAATAATTACAGAGAAATAATAATAGAAAAACAGATAAACCTCAAAACCCCAATTAACAGTACTAATTGCTGAGGCTGACTCTACAGTTCTTTCTAATAAATGTTTTGATTTTATTATTTAATTGTGATATAAGATAAGCACAACCCTATTGATATGCTGATATGCAGTGCTTTTCAAAGTTGAGGGTATGTGTGACTCCACGTCAACAGTGTGTGTGTGCGTGTGTGTGTGTGTGTGTGTGTATACACACACACACACACACACACAAAACTAGCCAGGTGTGGTCGCATGCACCTGTAATCTCAGCTGTTCTGGAGGCAGAGGGTGCAGTGAGCCGAAATCACACCACTGCACTCCAGCCTGGGTTAGACAGCGAAACGCCACCTCAAAAATAAAAAAGAATGAATTTCTCGACACCACAGGTTCTTCAGCTCAATTCATTTCTAGCAACATAAGGGCCCCATGTGAGGTCCTGAGGGCCTGAAATGCTGGCCTTCCCTGCCTCCACTTTTATTTACTTGCATCAAAACAGGTGTTTAACTCACAAAATGCCATTTCATTAAATTTGTGTTTTCATTTATGTAAAGTGGCTTCAATGCCAAAGCAAATTCATTGTTAGAAAAGTCAAGCTATAAATAAAAGGTAGCTAATTTTGCCTTTCTTGGTTTGTAAAAGAAATTCTAGACGTCCAAGCCTAATTCTGCAACATTATTTAAATGTTCCCCCTGAGGCCCTCCCTGTCCTGCCATTCCTACTGGGTGCTGTCCAGCCATCCACCCACTTGAGCAGTTGCCATACTATCACCCTCCTGGCGCATGGGTGAACTCAAGATCACCACACAAGGATGCCATGCTGACATTCCCAGGCTCTCCATCATGCCTCCCTTTATTTCTTCATTCAACAAACATGGCTGAGCATGTGCTATATGCCAAGCACTATGCCAGCCACAGAACTGCAGCAGCGGACAAGCCAGCCATGGTCACTTGGTCACTTTCCCCCGGCCCCTATATGGGGAGCAAGAGGACTTCATGGCAGTTCATGTGCACACAGTGTCACTGCTTAAAGACCCAGCCTGCTCTTTCACTGAAAATCTGTGTCTAAGTAAATTTATTCATCCATGGTTAAGTCCAAGTCTGCCTGTCAGATCCCAGCAGTAGTGCCCGTGTGAAAACACTCAATAAACTTTGGCAAGAAAAAAACAAACCCTGACAAAAAATAAAAACAGATTCTGTGTTGACTTGATACAGAAAAATATATGTTGCTAAACTTCTGAGGAGAGACAAGATTCCTCTATGGTGTCTAGATTGCACTAGAGATATATATCATGTTCTAAGCAAATCATAGGAAAAAATTACAGAGAAACACCTACACACCTTCAGGTATTAACTCCAGAATCACTGCTTCCAGTACTTCTGGCCTGGTGGAGGGCCCTCCCTGGCTTCCTATGGCCAGGTGAGGTCCTTAAACTAGGTCTTGATCTCTCCCAGCTCAGGATCTGCAGTATCTATGATGATGTTGCCTAATATGACAATGGTGCTACACACATACTTGTGGGGCCAACCTGATTTCAACAAAGAAGTGTTTGGCCTAAATACATGAGAGAATCAGTAAATCAGGAAACACATCTCACATCAAGGAGACAAGCACTTTCCAGGTGTGAATGTTACGATGTTTAGCACAGCCTCTTTGACTAATTTCAAGGTGAAGAAGCAAGTTGGTAATAATAACCTACAAGCCTTACCTCATTTCGTGCAACCAGAGTTATAAAGGCTCCTTGTTTATAGCACTCGATAGCAATGCACTTCCCAATGCCACTGGAACCTCCTGTAACCTAAAACAAAATCATGAAATCTTCTTAGCACTTGAAATCTCCCCTCTGTAGGAAGCTTTACAAAAACAACTATGATGGGCTCTTAAAATGAATCTACAAGAACTAAACAGTTAGCTGTTACAGGTTCTTCATCCCAAACTTAACGATTGGAGTTAAGTGTAAGCATGAAGGATACTATCAGCAAGGCTTGCTGCTTTGACCCTTTTCTTATTGAACCATAAATTGCACACCTATAATATCTTTCTGGGTTCATTGGTGGAAAAGTGCCCTATAAATCTAGCTCATAAATAATACATTAGTCTGCCTCTGATCCCAAATCCAAATGAATCTTATTTCCTAAATGCACATTTATGCAAAATTAGCTCTACAACTAGATGAAAAGAATGACCACTTGCATATATATTATATTTGAAATGACTGCGTAGTATAAAAGTAATATACAGTCACAAGGAAATCCTGAAAAGTAAAGCTCTTTTTGCACTATTCTACCACTATCTACAGCACAGCCATACTGGCTGTCTTTCAGTTCCACCAACCCTCCAACCGCAGTACCTTTGTACATCCTACTTCCCTTACAAAGAATGCTCTCCTCTCTGCTTCATCTAACTGACACCTACTCGCCTGTCAAATCTCAGCTCAAATATCACTTCCTCAGGAAAGCCTTCACTGTCTCCCCTGCCCCCACCCTGACACACTTTTCTGCACCATATTTCTTCTTCACCTGATGACATGCACATAATAAACAGCTCTAGATTTATTTGTGTGATTATCTGATTAACAACCATCTTTCCTGACACCACCCTATAAATTCCACTAAAAATACCAATTCTTTTTCTGTTCCCCACTATATTTCTAGCACTTGGCATGGGGGGGGCTCAATACATTTTATATATTTCATTGAGTAAGTGAACAATGCAACATTTTCTTTCTCTCTCTCTCTCTCTCTCTCTTGACACAGAGTCTCAATCATATGTCAGCTCAGTCACCCAGGCTGGATTTATTTGCTTGCTTGCTTTTTCTTTCTCTTTTTCTCTCTCCCTCACTTTTTCTTTCTTTCTTTCTTTTTTAATACAGAGTCTCACTCATATGTCAGCTCAGTCACCCAGGCTGGAGTGCAGTGGCAGCACAATCTCAGCTCATTGCAACCTCTGCCTCCTGGGTTCAAGCGATTCTACTGCCTCAGACACCCAAGTAGCTGGGACTACAGGTGTGCACCACCACACCCAACTAAATTTTGTATTTTTAGTAGAAAAGTGGTTTCACCATGTTGACCAGGCTGGTCTCGAACTCCTGACTTCAAGTGATCCACCTGCCTTGACCTCCCAAATTGCTGGGATTATAGGTGTGAGCCACCACACCTGGCCATATCTCTCTAGTCACTGTCCCTATGCAAATTACATAATATTGCATAGTATTGCGTCCTGTTTTTTTTTAATTATATTGTCCTCTGTCAAAAAATGAAAAGGTTTTACAATATTGCATCAAATAGCTGCATCAAAACTATTTCCCTATGATCGGACATTTAGATTATTCCTAATATTTCACTGTCATACCTAAATCATGCTGGGAGGGAGATCTCTGACCCCATCCCAGGAATTTACCATCATTGGAAAGTGTCTCCTATGCAAATACAAATGCACCTATCTCTATGGGACTTATAGGCAACCCTTACTTCTCTCTAACCTCAACCTGCCACCACTGAATAGATTGATTTGGTGGACAATCAGCCAGTTATCAGCCGAAGAGTACTATAAAAATACAGCTGTTGTTGGCTGTGCGCAGTGGCTTGCACCTGTAATCCCAGCGCTTTGGGAGGCTGAGGCAGGTGGATCACCCGAGGTCAGGAGTTCAAGACCAGCCTGGCCAACATGGTGAAAACCCATCTCTACTAAAAATAAAAAATAAAAAATAAAATTAGCTGGGCATGGTGGCAGGTGCCTGTAATCCCAGTACTTGGGAGGCTGAGGCAAGAATTGCTTGAACCCAGGAGGCAGAGGTTGCAGTAAGCCGAGATCGCACCATTGCACTCCAGCCTGGGCAACAGAGAGTGACTCTGTTTCAAAAAAAACAAACAACAACAACAAAAAACAAAATATGTATAGACATATATATATAGAGAGAGAGAGAGAGTACACGCACTATTGCCTAGGTTAATGGCTGCCTCTGAGATCTTTGCTATGAAGATAGTCCATGGGTCATTTGGCTTATTAAATTTCACCAGATATTACAATTGCATAGCAACTAGTTGAACCCCTAAAAATATTCCTGCCTGTTATATGTTGTTGCCTTGCTGCTTAGGTGTCCCTCCACCTAACATTCCCCACACGTCTGCATTTCCAAATCCCACCCATCCCACAGAGCTCAGTTCCAACATCCCCTCCTCCGAGAAGCTTTTCCAGACTCTCACTGGTTCTTGCCCTTAGCTGTCATCATCTGTCTTGTAAGGTTACATATAGACATGTCTTAGCACCCCTGCCAGACATCAGTTCCTTGAGGACCAGAGCCAAGTCCAACTGACCTCACTCATTCCTAGCATACTACCTTGCATACGCACTTGCTAAATAAATACTTGCCTATGTCAATTTGCAAAATGGAGTATGACGCCATTTCTCTGAAAAGTATGATGCAAAAAATATATAAATAAAATTTCCCTACTTATTATCCAGTGAATTAATAGAAGTGGAAGTTATGAGGTTACTGAGAAAATGCATATACTCTGAAGTGTTATGTTAATATTAGCTATTGTTATCATTGCTGTCCTTTTTCCAGAATGTATATAGGTAAGCTAGCTGTGTAAATTTACCGCAAAGCGAAAACAAGGTTTAAACCCAACCAACTGTAAGATCTATCCATAACAACAAGAGTCTGACTTCTACTTTTGGGTCATGGTTTATGGGAAACTTATATTCTAGTCAGTTAATTCTTAGATGGTATCTAAGAATATACTTGCATCAATTGGGCTACGTTATTCTGAATGTTATAAGAAAATATGAGGGATTTTCGCAATGACTGAGAAAAGTGTAAATGTCTGCCGAGTTGCCTGACAACTGCTAAAACACGCCTAGATCCAGGACACTAAAGATAACAGTTGAGGCTGTAATCCCAGCACTTTGAGAGGCAGAGGCGGGAGGATCACCTGAGTTTGGGAGTTCGTGACCAGCCATACCAACATGGAGAAACCCCGTCTCTACTAAAAATACAAAATTAGCCAGGCGTGGTGGTGCATGTCTGTAATCCCAGCTACTCGGGAGGCTTAGGCAGGAGAACTGCTTGAACCTGGGCAACAAGAGCAAAACTCCATCTCAGAAAAAAAAAAAAAAAAAAAAAAAAAAAAAAAAAAAAAAGATAACAGTTGAATGTCTTTTATTATTCTGTTACTCTTCACTAAAAATATTGTTTAAATGTTACTATCACCACATAGCTATTTAGGGCAACAATGATTTAATGCCAGTCATTTCCAAAAAGGGGAAGATTTAAGTAAGTATATGCCCTGTGAGATTTGCTGCAATTTTACTACTGTAACTAGATAGATAACACCAGGATATAAAATTGTTCTAAAAATGAAACAATAAATAGTTCTAAGTTTGTTCACAATCCTGTACAGGCAGACAGTCTAACTATAAGCTCCCTCTCCCAATACCACTCAGTCAACTCCTAACAAATCTCAAGAACAATAATTACACTTTTCAGTCTCCTTATGACATTAAAAAAGAAGACAGATGGTGACACGATGTGAATTATTCATGTCATTCTCACATTATTTAGAGTGTGAAATAATAATCCTGTGTATTAAAGTGGGATGGTAAAAATAAGAAATTCTTGGTCTACCTCAACAGCCAACAGCATTTATTATCTGATCTATGACCTGCCAAGGGATGGGGCTGGAAGGACTAGAGTCAAGGTTCAGTGAAACTGTCTTATAAATAAGGGGTTTGAATTTTCATTCTCCTTATTTCATTCTCCTTATAAGCCAAAGCCATTGCGTTTGGCTTTACTTTTCGCAAAGTTATGCTCCATAAACACAAGCTCTGAAAGGATCCAACGTTTGAAGCCATGCATGCCTTTGAGGCACCAGTTCTCTTGTGATGTAAAACTTTCAGAATTTAACGTGTCAAGTTTTGCCTCTCCTTCTCATTTATTTTTTGTAATGAGCCTACAACTCAGCTCCTCGCCTTCTTTCCCCATTAGAAACAGGGGGTGTTTCTAATGGGGAAAGAACGTTTAAAAAACTAATAGTTTTAAAAAGGAGAAATTAAAGAGAATACATTTTCTCATTTATAAACCCTCGTTCAGATTTAAAGCACAGTGAAAGAAATGACTATCTTATCTTATACCAGCTCAGCAGGGAGGCGCGGATCTCCAGGCAGAGCTAGGACAGGAAGAGGTGTGCTGCCAGCTTTGTAACCAACCCTCCTTATTCCTAACTCCCCGCCTCACTGTGCCTCGGGGTTGGGAGATCCAAACAAGAAAGCTGGTGAGATTGCCACTGAAAACGGGAAAGTGGTGGGCGCAGGCAAGGAAGCATCCTCTCTGTTTAAGAAATGTGCCACACTTGCAGAACAGGGATCGAGCGAGCTGCCGGCAAGAAACGAATCACACCCATCCACCTCTCCTTCATCCCTCGAACACTAGCCCCGTCGTTTAGCTCATCCTTTCTCCTAGGAAACTGCAAAGGATTGCATTGGAGCAGCCACCAGCAGATGCCACTCTCAGAGAGCTCAGAGACAAGGAGCGTAGACGGGACAGGCGTCCCAATACCGCTAAGCCACCACCGCCAGCACGCTGGTTCAGAGCGGTTTCCCCAGGTGAGTCACTTCCTGGAATCCTCTGGCAGCAGCTCTTCCCTTCACTCGCACAGGCCATCTTCCAGTTCCGAGCTGCCTCGGCGAGTCCCGGCGGCTGGGACCCCCGCTTCCCCGCTGTCTGCCCCCGCCCAGGACCTCGCGCCACACCCGCGCACCACCGACCGCTGTGTCCTTGGCAAAGTTTCTCAGCCTCTCTGTGCCTTAGTTGACTCATCGGAAAAACAGCCACATCCCAGGGATGTTCCGTGGTTTCAGGAGCAGACACCGCACCCCGGGGCCCCGGGAACCCTGCGGCTGCCGCTGTCCCCAGTCGCGCGCTCTCTGGCCCCGGGAGGAGCCCGAGGCAGCAGAGGGCTGGTCCGCAAGGCCGAGTGCCCGGCCGGGGGCAGAGCGCCGGGGTGGACGCCGGCAGGTGACCTTCCCCATCCGGCCATGCCTTGCTGGGGACCGCGGCCTGGAGACAAGGGCATCGGCGGCGCGAGCTCGGCGGCGGAAAGGCCTCGCGGGCAGGGAGGTCGGGGCGCAGCAACAGGAGGCCACTCACCACCACATGCGCCCCGGGCAGGGCGAGGGGCTTGGGGCTGATGAGCGGAGACACCATGTAGAGCAGCAGCACGAAGGCCACGAGGAAGGCGGCTGCCAGCAGCAGCATCGCTCCGCGAGGCCGGGTGCCCGGAGCAGCCGGGCGAGGGCCGCCAGGCGGGGCGCGCAGCGCTGGGCGGCGGCGGGGCGAGGATCACGCGCGGCGGGCGAGCGGCCGGCGCCGACACTGTTTGGGTTTGCGGACCATGGCAGGCCGCGGCGGAGGGGAAGAGGAGGAGCCGGCGCGGGCACCACCCAGGCGGGGCGGTGCTTCCAGGGGGCGCCGCCCGCACCGCCGCCGGAATCGCTTCTGGGGTGGGGTCCCGGGTGTCTCCCACTCCCCCCGCCTCGGGACGGGGCCCACAGTCGGTAGCCTCCCACGCGGAAACCGGGCCTCCGCTCCCTGAGCGCCGCGAGCACCAGAGTTCCGGGCAGCGCCACCTGCGAGCGCGCCGGGCAGGGCAGCGAAGACTGGCTCCTCGGAAGCTCGAGGGCTTCTTAGGACCCCGCAGAGCGGGTTTCCAGGCCGGCCACGGCCTCCTGCGGCCGCCAATGTGGGTGTGGCGAGCGCTCCTCCCCGGAGTTCCACCAGCTGCTAGGGACAGCCCGCCGGGACGCTCGGAGGCCCCGGAGCATCCGAAAGGGCGGATAACGGTTCCCCGGAGCCGGCTCAGCCCGGGAGCCCCGCGACTGCGCTCTGAAATCCCGGGCTCCATCCCATATTTTCTTGGCGTTCTTAGAAGAGGGTCACAGCCCACCTTCGCTTTTCAGAGAACCGGGAAAGGCTTAACTGGGAGTTCCAAGAAATCGCCAAGGTAATTCAATTTCATTGAGTTCGGAGTTCATCTTTACCAAGCAAGTTCAAAACAAAAAAACGCAAACAACTCAGCTTTATTGAGGTCTCGGTAGCACACTATACCGTTCAATTCCCGATTTGAAATGCATAATAGGCCGGGCGCGGTGGCTCACGCCTGTAAGCCCCGCCCGTTGGGAGGCCGAGGAGGGCGGATCACTTGAGATCAGGAGTTTGAGACCGGCGTATCCAACATGGTGAAACCCCGTCTCTACTAAAAATGCAAAAATTAGCTGGGCATGTTGGCGGGCGCTTGTAATCCCAGCTACTAGGGAGGCTGAGGCAGGAATTGCTTTAACCCGGGAGGCAGAGGTTGCAGTGAGATCGCGCCACTGCACTCGAGCCCGGGCGACAGAGCAAGGCTCCATCTCAAAAAAATTTTGAAAACTCATAATAAATTGTTTTTAACATACAGTTGTGGAGCCACCACCACCACCACCATAAATTTTAGAACATTTTTGTGACAATCCCCCAAAATTCTATACTCATTAGCAGCCACGCCCCATTTCCTCCCAAACCCCGACCAAGCCTAAGCGATCCCTTATCTTTCTGTCTCTATAAATTTGCCTATTCTGGGTATTTCACAAAAATGGAATCATACAATATGTAGCCTTTTGCATTTTATCTTTCACTTACTGTAATGTTTTCAAGGTTCATCCATGATATGAAGTACTACATGTTAATATTTCTTTTTACTGCCAAATATCCTATGGTATGGATATACTATATTTTAATTTTCCGTCCATCAATTGAGGAGTATTTAGGTTTCTACTTTTTGACTATTAGAATTATGCTAACTGTAAATATTCATTTACAGGTTTTTCTGTGGGCATATGTTTCATTTCTCTTGGGTATATGCCTAGGAGGGGAATTGCTGCTACCTCTTAAGGCAACTCTGTGTTTAACTATTTTAGGAGTTGCCAGAATGTTTTCCAAAGTGACTACATTTTGTGTTCCCACCAGCAGTGTATGTGGGTTCCAATTTGTCCACATCTTCACCAACACTTGTTAGCATCCATCTATCTGATTATAGCTTTTGTAGTTGGTGTGAAGTCAGATTGTGATTTTAATTTGCATAGAGGCACATATTTTTGATTGCTTTTAATTTTTATTGTTGTTTCTAGAAAAACTAGGGAGCTAAGGAGAAAAAAAAAGTTTGCATTTTTTCTTGACTTATGGCAGAGTTAGCCAAACTGCAACATTTGAGGGCACAGTGTCCAAGACTTCTGATATCGGTGTAAGTTTAGAGGTTCCCAAACCACCCTCAGCTTTGATAATTCATTGGGAGGACTCACAGAACTCACTGAAAGCCATTATGCTCATAGCTATGGTTTTATTATGTGGAAAGAATACAGATCAAAATCAGCTAAGGAAAGCAGTGCCTAAGGCAAAGTCTGGAGGGCTCCAAATGCAAAGCTCCTGCTGTCATAGAGTCAGGCTGTGTTACCTTCCCAGCACTGGTATGTGACAGTATGCTTGGAGTATTGCCAACCGGGGAAGCTTGCCCGAGCTTCTGTGTCCAGAGTTTTTACTGGGACTCGACCAGTTAGGCTTGATCAGTCATCCACTTGGTTGAACCGAGACTCAACTAGACTGATAGTGTATGACAAAAGCCCCTACCTAATTCAGGTTTGGTCTTTCTGGAATGGCCAGTCCTCATCTAAACAAAGATACTCCTATCAGGTATGACATAGATAACCTTCCAGAAGCCAAGGGAAAAAGTCAAACCTTCTCTTTGGGCAAGATTGAATCCTTTACAACATGGCCACCAACTGGCTTTTGGTGAAAGCTTTCTTACAGTAAAATGAACATATGTCTGACATTTGGAGGAGCCAGTGTAAAGGGCTTTTAACTTGGTTTCTCAATACATGTGGCCATCTATGTGAGTATTATAATCTCACTTATAATGCCAGAGTTAGACTGTATTATGATATGGTAGTAAACATAACTTGAAAAATTAGAGTTAAAAGATAGTGGCAGATAGATACAAGAGTTCCACTCTGCCATCAACAGCTGGTCCAGTTCATCATCATATTGTATGATCAAAGTGTCTCTCAGAGCAGTGGCATTCAGGCTTGTGGGTTCTCATTTGACGCTATCAGTTTCCAAAAACAGAAGTGGCCTTCACCCTTTCAGGTACCAGAATGTCTTTTTAACATATTTTGTGCATCAAGTAGCTTATAGATTTTAACAACTTGTGTGGGCTCAGCAATCTCGGTGGTTCCCATTTAGCATGTCCAATCAATATTGTCTGAAGGGCAGATTCACCTGTCTTGTGTTTTGCATTACTAGGTAAGGGAGATTTTCCTCATAGTACATTCATGTAAAGGGGATGCAACAACTCCAAATAGAATCTGTTCAAACATTCCAGCTTTCATCTAGACTTTCACTTTAATCCTATCAAATGTATTTTCATATCTTTCCAGTCTGTCACCTTGGTTAGAATTTCACTAAAAGAAAAACAGTGCACGGGGCTCCCATGTCCAAGAATTTTAGAAATGTTTCCTTTCAGCTGGGCTTGGTGACTCATGCCTGTAATCCCAGCACTTTGGGAGGCTGAGGCAGGAAGATCATGAAGTCAGGAGATGGAGACCAACCTGGCCAACATGGTAAAACTGTCTCTACTAAAAATACGGGAAAAAAAAAAAAAAATTAGCTGGGCGTGGTAGTGTGCACCTATAGTCCCAGCTACTTGGGAGGCTGAGGCAGGAAAATCGCTTGAACCCAGAAGGCAGAGATTGCAGTGAGCCGAGATCATGCCTCTGCACTCCAACCTGGCAACAGAGCAAGGCTCTGTCTCAAAAAAAAAAAATAAATAAATGTTTCTTTTCCACTCCTGACTACCTATTCATGTACATTTGGTCTTGGGCCCCCAACCAGAAATTGGGCCAGTGGACCTAGGTTCAGGGGTGTGTGTGTGTGTGTGATAGAGTCTTGCTCTGTTGCCCAGGCTGGAGTGCTGTGGCGTGATCTTGCAACCCCCACCTCCTGGGTTGAAGCAATTCTCCTGCCTCAGCCTCTCGAGTAGCTGGGATTATAGGCATTTAAAATTCAATCAGCATAATCTATTACATTAACAGGTGAAAGAAGGAAAATCACAGGGTATCAATCAATGTAGAAAAGGCATTTGACAAAATTTGACACCCATTCATAATTAAAATTATCAGAAATATAAGAATATAGAGGAACTTCCTCAACTTTATGAAGAACATCTGTAGAAAAACCTATAGCTAATGGTGAAATATTGAATGCTTCCTCCATAAGGTCAAGGTCAAAGCTAAGATACTTGCTCTCACCACTCTCATTCAACAATCCTGGAAGTTCTAGCCAGATCAATAAGGCAAGAAAAAGGAAATAAACATCATACAAATCAAAAAGGAGTAAGTAAAGTGACTCCTACTTGCAGATGGCTTGACTGATGGTGCAGAATATCTCTAAGAATCTTTAAAACAGAAAAAAAAAAACTAGTAGAATTAAGCATCTCCAACTTGCAGAACACAAAACTAAAAGAATATATAAAAATAAAATGCATTTTTATATACTAGCCATGAACTTGTGGACACTGCAATTAAAAATATCATTTCATTTATAATTTCTGAAAGAAATGAAATAGATATAATCTAACAAAACATGTACAGGACTTGTATGTTGAAAGCTGCACAGTGCTGATGAAAGAAATCAAAGATCTAAATAGACATACGATGTTCATGAATTAGAAGACTTAATATAGTGAAGATGTCAATTTTTTTCCAAATTGATGTACTATTTTAATGCACTGCCTATTCAAACTATAGCAATATTTTTATAAATATAGATAAGATTACTAAAAATTTTTATGTAAAGGCAAAGAAATTAAAATAGTTAAAACATTTTTTAAAAGAGGAATAAAGTGGAAGGAATCAATCTACCTGATTTCACAACTGATTATATAGCGACACTGATGAAAACTGTGTGGTATTGGCAGAAGGGCAGACACTTAGATCAACAGACCCCAGAAATAAACCCACGAAAATATACCCAACTGATTTTTGACAAAAGTGCAAAAGCAATTTAATGGAGGAAAGATACCCTTTTCAGGAAATGGGACTGCCACAACTGGACATCCATAGACAAAGAAAAACAAACAAATAGAAAAAAAATACCTCAACCAAAAGTTTATACCATTTGCAAAACTTAAGAAGTTGTGATGGCTAATTTTGTGTGTCAACTTCATGGGGCCATGTGGTGCACTGATATTCAGTCAAACATTATTCTGGGTGTTTCTGTGAGGGTATTTTGAATGAGATTTATCATTTAACCTGGAAGACTGAGTAAAGCAGATTATACCTTCTACTGCCGGTGGACCTCATCCAATCACGTGAAGGACTGAATAGAACAAAAAGG